CCCTGTCCTCACAGCTCAGTAAACTTAAATACACTGAAAAGCCACCCTATCTCTGCTGTGCCTACAACACAGGTTAACTCTCCCCGCTGCCCAATCCTGCCTCCTTCCATCTCCCACTAATGAAGAGCACTCCACAATAAACCTCCTGCCCATAAATCTCTTCCCAGAGATTATTTTCCAGGATCTAAGACAAATAACTAACACTATAAACTCCTTGGAACTGTCCTAATATACCCCCTTTAATATCTATCTTGCTTCATGTTTATGGTAGGGACTATAATCTCATTTTACATATGCAGAAACTAGGGTTAGATAACTTAAATAACTTGCTCAAGGAAATCGGAGGAACTAATTTAAAATGGGTCCTAAAATGCAAGGCAAACACTAATTACATCTACACAGACCTGTTAAGTGACTTAAGGTAGAGTTAGCTCAAAGGTTGTATTCAGAATGAATTGTGTGGTGAACCTTGTTCAGCCATGAAACAGGAATTTATAAAAGTGTAACTCAGGCCCACTGAAAATTGGATATACTATGATCAAGGTTTCAAATATTTTTAAAGCTGAAGAAGAAAAAAAAAGCAGAGGCCTAATGGAGTCAGAATTTCAGAATGAAACCAGTTGTAATCTACTGCCTGATTACTAGATTCTAAAAATAATGACCTACAATTCATGTTGTCCACCTACAATCATAATGTTCCAGTACGTGCACACAGATGTTTATTATGTGGGAAGACGATGGCACTTCCTCACATTAGTTTGTTTCCTCCAATCCTTGCAAAAGGCTTCATAAATTCATACCTAAAAAGTAGGGGCACAATATCCTTTGCATTCTTAGTCAAATGCATAACAGCTACCAGTTCAATTGCCTCGATCGACTCAGCCATACTGTAGTTTCCCCAAGCTTCCCCTGGCTAGCAATCTTCTCCATAGAGTGAGGAGTTATTTATACTTATAATGGACAGTTAAGAGCTAATATTACCCTGCTCTGGTAACTACAATGTGCTACACCTACAGGACATAAAACCACTCTATAAATTTGAAACAACTACTAGTTTTAACTGGTCATTAAGTTTACATGCAAATATATTAAAAACTGGCTTGATCAGAACAAACCATTTAAAATGTTAATAGATATGTAACATGCTCAGGCGAGCCTGAGAGCTATATAGCTAAGACTTTATCTCAACAACAAAAAGACTGCAAATATTTAATAATTGCTTTGAAAATTTTATAATAATAAAATCTAGTATCACAAGTAAAAACTTGAAATATACTTAGAAATACTAAAGTGGTCCAAAACTAATGTAATTTAAAATTTAAAAATAATTCAGTCTTTGAGCTGATGAGATGACTCAGTGGGTAAGAGCATTTACTCTAAAGCCTTACAACTTGAGTTCAATACCCAAAATCTACATGATGGAAGAAGAGAATCAACTTCAGAAAGTTGTTTTCTGACCTAGACAGGTATGCTATTTGAGTTAAAAAGAAAAAAGAAAAAAGTAAGCCTTTGTTGATTCTTAATAGTTCACACATGTCTATTGCCCCTTCCTCTAGATATTCACAAGTATCACCTCTCTCCCACACCTACACTATATATATATGCATATACGTATACATATATATACATATACACACACATGCATGTACATACTATATAGTGTGTGTGTATATATACATACATACACACACACACACACACACACACACACATATATATATATATATGCCCTGTATCTACAAAACATAAAAACCACTCTATAATTTGAAACAACTACTAGTTTTAACTGGTCATATATATATATATTTTTTTATAAAAATACATATAATCTATATATATATATATATATATATATATATAAAATTTCAAAAGCATTTGCAGTTTCTTTATTCATTTTGTGCAGGCCTCAGAACCCACATTAATAATACTGTCTTCAGAAGCATGGGGATGGTTCTTCCACTTGAGGTGAACTACTCACCAAGGCATCACCCATATTAGAACCAACAATGTGTGCCATAAAATTCAGCTCACTGCTCTGCAATCTGCAGCTTCTGACATTCTGGTTATGGCAATGTGGGGCCCCATTTCTTCCTCTTTCCGTCTAATAAAATAATGTTCTCGTCGGGCGGTGGTGGCGCACGCCTTTAATCCCAGCACTCGGGAGGCAGAGCCAGGCAGATCTCTGTGAGTTCGAGGCCAGCCTGGGCTACCAAGTGAGTTCCAGGAAAGGCGCAAAGCTACACAGAGAAACCCTGTCTCGAAAAACCAAAAACAAAAAAAAATAATAATGTTCTAATCAGAAATACATAGCTTTACACAGGTATACACAGTACTGCTAAATTTACCAGTTTAGTACTTCAAAAGAATAACAGGAGCATCATAACTGGCTTCATGTTTTCAAGCTAGGAGGTACCACCTGCCAAGTAAAAACATCCTCAATCACTTTAAAACACTTAAATCTTTCAGAGTGCGGTAAACCAGTACGGGAAGGAAGGCTTCGTGAGAACCAAGGATGCCCTAACTTGTAACCACCAGCGCAGTCCCTATTTAATATGCAGTACTGTTAACACTACAAATGATTAATAGTTCTAAATGAATAACTAATAGCTATTATTCACCAATCATCTATTATTTGCAACAAGCTTTACTGACCTTTACATAATAAGCCTTTAAAATAACAAGGACCAGGAACTTGATAGTAAAGGGTCACTGTAAGCGTCTTGCACAATAACCTCTAAGGGACCCCCATCAAGTTTGTACAGGAGGAAACTGAGGGTCAGAAAAACTGGCCTTTCTCCAGCTATCAAAGCTCGAAATGGTTAAGGCAGAGTCGACAGTATCCAGAATCTAAATACCTTCCTCTCTGCCACACAGACATCAAGAGAAGGTTAGAGCTAGGGAAGCAAGAACAGGCACAGGCGAGCCAAGAGTATTATCAAACATGCACAAACAGGGAAGTCCGCGACTGGTAATAAATAAATAAAACTTCCTACTTCCAAACGGCAGGGGCACAGCCACGGGGGCTGCTTCCAACAGCCTGGAGTCTCCTCTGGAAGCCCTGGGGAGCTCTTCTAAGTGCTGCGCCCTGTTTAAAGGGAGACGGTCTATATGGAGCATGGCTTCGGCAACTGGAAACCGTCTTCAAGGACAGAGGTAGCCATTACAACTATTCTCATCTACTCCCGTTAAAATACACACTCTCTTCCCTGCCGGACAGGAAAAAGTTTAAAAACTGTCCGAACACATGTCAAACACCAGGTCACGAAAACTGTTGTCTCCGTATCAGAAAACTCCCGTCACATCTCAGCTATCACCCACATGCCCTCCTGGAAAGGATCGTTCAGGCGCTCCCAATACGATCAGGCTTCTTTCAGAAAACAAATGTGAAACTATTATACAGGGGACTTTTTTTCTTTTCTTTTTTTTTTTAAACTCCAGGCTGGGAACGGAAGTCAAGTTCAGATTCTCTTCCTTCCTCAAGCGAGACGGAGAATTAGAAGAACACTCCCCTCATCTCACACACACACACACACACACACACACACACACACACACACACACACACACACACGAGAGGCAGAGACACAGAGACAGACAGACAGCGAGCATGCGAGAGAGCGCACACTTCTTGGCGTCAAGCTCTCCACCTGTGGCCGTCAAGGCGACAGGCCTCGATCTGTTGGGAACGGAGGCTTTTTCCTCATTGGAGGCAAAGGCGGGTGGGTCGGGGGGGGGGGGGGTGAGCAGGAAGTTTTCAGTCCGATCACTCTTAACTTGGTCCCCTTTGCTCGCTGGCTCGCTCGATCACCGGCTCGCACTAGCCCGGGGCACTCGGGGACTCCGCCCGCGCCGACACCACGGGGAGCAAGGCACGCACGAACCGTTCGCTCGGCCGCAGAGCCCCCCCGCGGGCGCCCCCCCTCTCTGAACCCCGAAGCCCAGCGGCGGGGTCCCCCGGCCCAGGCCACGCCGCTCCGCGTGGGGACCGCCAAGGGCCAGCCGCGGCGGGGCGGAGGGGCGGGGCGAGCACTTCCTGACTAGCATTGTCCACGCGCCGCCCGCGCCACCCGGGGCCCCGCCACCGCGCCCGCCCGCCCGCCCGCCCGTCGGGGAGGAAGTTGGCGCTCGCCCCGCCGCCGCTTGTCAGTCTTACCGTTCTTGGCGTCTCCCGCGGCTGCAGCCCCCGCAGCGACGGCGGCGTTGGCGGCGCCCGTGCCCGCACCTCCGGGGCCCGCCGCGCCGCCGGGGCTGCCTCCCGCGCCGGGTGACACCGCCCCGCAGCCCGCCGCCGCCGCCGCCGCCGCCGCCAGGGCCCCTCCGGCCGCCGCGCCCGTCGCACCCGCCGCACCCGCCGCCGCCAAGGCCCCGGCTCCATTTTCCTGCTCGTCGCCGCTGCTGTTGGCGCGCTTGTTTTTGCGGCCGCCTTTGCTGTTCTTGGGGTTGGGCATCTCCCCGGTCCGATCGAGGGAGGGTGGTGTCCCGGGGACCCGGCGCGCCCACGAAGGCTGGGCAGCGCCCCCCCCCCGACCCCCGGGGGCGGCTGCCGGAGAGCGCGGGGCCGGCCGCTCTCCCTCAGGCGCCCGCCCCGCCGTGCGGCCCGCGCCGCGCCATCCCGCTCGCCGCGCCCTCTCGCCCGCCCGCCCGCCCGCCCGTCGCCGCCGCCGCCGGCTTCCTTCCTGGAGCCGGCGCGGCCACCCGAGGCTCGCAGCCGCGCGGGGCGCAACGGGCCCGCGAGCGAGCGAGCCGAGCCGAGCGAGACGGCTCGGGGAGCCTGAGGGAAAAGGCGGGTCTCGGGCTTGTTTTGATTCGGCGGCGCTGACACGCTCCAGGCCCGCCCCCCGCCCGTGACGACACTGGGGCTGGAGCCCGGCCCCGCCCACCAGGTGACCTCACGGCGGGGGGCCCGCCCCGCCCCCCGTGACGTCACGCCCCGCGGCGCAGGGCCCGCCGCCCGGGTGACGTCATCCGGGCGCCTTTGGGGCAAGCCGGGGGAGTTGTGGGGGGGTGCGGGGGTGCGGAGGAGCGGGGATGGGCGAAGCTCTCCGGTTTCCCGCGGGCGCTGCCAGCCGCGTCTGAGACGTGCCAGGTAGAGTGTCGGTGGAGTTGTCAGGTGACCTTCTGACCTTCCTGGAACGAAGGGTTACGACACGACATGGGCTGGAAAGACAAACAGGTGGCCCGAGCAAGCAGGAAAGGAAAACCTTTGGGATGAGTGATTCGTGCAGTGGCTTCTGCGGTTCAGGAAGGAGACAGATGCAGGGAGTTCCTGGACGGTGCAGTGAGCCGCGCTCCGGCGGCGGAGTGGGGGGGATCCCTCGGTGGAAAGCTCACTGGACGCAGACCCACCAACCGGAGAGACAGACCCCAGGGTTCTGTCCCAAGCACAGCCAGCCTGGAGGAGCCAGGGTGCACACAGACGACCAAGTTGTCTTCAGAGAGAGAGGCCCGGTTGAGAAGAAGACATTAGCAGGTGAAGGTGTGAGGGCATGGCCATGCCCAGCAGTAGCTGGCCAACACAAAACGAACTCGATGGAATCTTTGGAGGTTCTGCTTCCTAATTTTGTCAGGGCTTTTTCTTTTTTATTTCCTTTTTTTTTTCCTTTTTCTTTTTTTGACCTTACAAGTCCTTTGTGTATATATTATGGCTTCCGATTTTGTTTTTATGGGACTCCTGACTATATGAACGTGTGTGTGTGTGTGTGTGTGTGTGTGTGTGTGTGTGTGTACGCGCGTCTATATGTGTTTCTCGTGCTTTTTCGTTGGCTCTTTTTTCTTCTGTGTGTTTTATCCTGTTTGTTTTCATTTTATCTCATTTTATTGTGTTATTATTGAGATGCTTGTTTGTTTTCTAATGAGAGACAGAAAGGGTGTGGATTCGGCTGGGAAGGAAAGTGGTGAGAACCTTGGAGGAGTTGGAGGAGAAGCCATATTAGAATATATTGTGTGGGGGAAAAAAATCGATTTTCAATAGAAAGAAAAAGATGTGTGGGCACAGTACTGTGGGATGGTCTCTCGGTATGCTGTGAATATGTGTTGCTACCATTGGTTAATAAAGAAGCTGTTTTGGCCTATGGTAAGACAGGCTATAGCCAGATGGGAAATCCAAGAGAGATACAGGGAGAAGAAAGGTGGAGTCGAAGATGCTGAGAGCGCCAGGGGCACAAGATGTAACGGAACACAGGTAAACACACAGACAAAGCCACGAGACATGTGGCAAGATATAGATTCATAGAAATGGGTTAATTTAGGATGAGTGAGCTAGTTAGTAATAAGCCTGGGCCATAGACCAAGCAGCTTGTAATTAATATAAGTCTCTGTGTGTTTACTTGGGACCGGATGGCTGTGGGCCACAGGAAAACTTCTACAGCGCAGGGCTCCTGGGAAGATTTGATGTGGTGGTCTTTTCTGAAGCTCTGATCTGCTCTCTTCCATCCTTCAGGTCACAGCTTAGATACCTCATTTTCTTCGGCATGATCTCATGGAGTCATCTTCTCAGAGCATTGCAGTCAATTGCGCTTGTCTACACCTGATTATGTTGGTATGCCTATGCTTAAGTATTTCTTGTCTGTCTCCCTCACATGAAACTGCCATAGATAGGGGATTTTGTCTTGTGCACCATAAGAAACAACTGACATAAACTTGTCGAATGTATAGATAGAGTTCTTGATCCATTACTACAGAAGAAAGATTGTTTTAACTCGGTTTTATAATATCCTCTTCCTATAGTGTGATTTTTTTGTTTTGTTTAGTTTTGTTTTGTTTTTTGAGACAGGCTTTCTCTGTATAGCTTTGCATCTTTCCTAGAACTCAATCTGTAGCCCAGGCTGGCCTTGAACTCACAAAGATCTGCCTGCCTCTGCCTCCCGAGTGCTGGGATTAAAGGTGTGCGCCACCACCGCCCAGCCTATAGTGTGATCTTTAATTAACTAAGCTGTGAATCAAGGTACTGTGGCTGTGTTGAGAAGTCTAGAGAAGCAGCTTTCAGCCTGTGGGTTACAACCCCTTTGGGGGTCAAATGACCCTTTCACAGGAGTTGCCTAAGACCGTCAGAAACACAGATACTTGCATTACAGTTCATAACAGTAGCAAAGTTACAGTTATGAAATGCTCCATGAGTACTTACAGGATGTGTGTGTGTGTGTGTGTGTGTGTGTGTGTGATGTGTGAATCTGTGACATGAAAACATAAGCACAAACTATCTATTCTCTAGCTGGGGAGATCCCCAAGTTGGTAAAGTGCTTGTTGGACCAGCCCGAGAAACTGAATTCGATCTCCAGCATCCATGTCAAAGCTGGTCGCAGAGACACATATATATAGTCCCAGAGCTGCGGAGCCAGAAACAGGTGGATCCCTGGAGCTCACTGGCTGGCCAGCCAATCTGTCAGTGAGCTCCAGGTTCAATAAGAGACCCTGCCTCAAAAAATAAGGTGGAGAGGAATAAAGGAGAACATCTGATGTCAGTCTCTGGCACACACATCTCTATCTAGCTAGCTAGCTAGCTAGCTAGCTACCTACCTACCTACCTACCTACCTATCATCTATCTTAGCTATCATTTAGGCCTTTTAAAAGATTACTTTTCTTTAACATATAGTGTTTGAGGACTAAAAAGTTCCATCATTTGGAGAAAACTCCAACTACAATTGGTGAAGATGAAGTTTTAGGCTAGAGTACAGGAAAAGTGAGATAATTAACTTCTTGAATAAGCGTTCTGCTGTGGTGCCGTGTTCATCAGAGTTAGCGTTCACATGCCCTGCAGACAGGGATCCACACCAACTGCTGCCACCTCTACATAATTGAGACTTCAGAACTGGATACTTCCCTGCAGAAATACAGTTGGCTCAGAGCACACAGACACCCAGGCAGTTGCAGTTCTAGCTGTGTGAGCCACCTTCTCTTCATTCAAACTGCAAGAAGATGAAAAGGAGGAAGGAGAAGCTGGGCATTTCCATCTTCAACCTTCACACCTAATTTTAGTCTTAGTCAAATTTGACACAGAGGCCGTAGTTCCGGTTTTATTGCTACACTGGCAAGACACTAAAGTCAAGATGTTCAAAACAGAATTCAGGTGATGTTAAAGGACCCTGTTTTCTGCATTTCATATTCTGTGAAATTTCACCAGAATTGTGACACCCCAGCCTTTTCCCTTTTTCCCAGCATGCCTAGGAGTGGGGGTTGCATACAGAGGGAGGGAGAATGAGGCAAATCCCTCCCTTTCAATACTTTCAGAAAAAGAAACTAAAACTGAAAGCTACCCAGGTTGCTGTGCTGTATACATCTCATTTGACTTTTTAATCTTTATCTTCCCTGATCAACTCAGGTGCTCTGAAATATACTTAAAAAATTATAACCCCATTCCATGTTTCCTTTCCCCTTGAATATCATAGGCCCTATCATACAGTTCTCTGCACATATTTAAAAAACCAGCAATAAATCAAGTCCTTTGAAGATAAGCAATTTATACCTTTGAGAAAAAGAATGAACAAATCTTCAGGACTAAATTGGAATAAAAGGGCATTGTTTCCATATTGTAATTTTGTTGACCTTTCGTGTCTGTCTTTTGAGCTCTTGCCGATAGCCAAATTTGGACTAGGGTTAGACTATAGAAAAGTGTGTTAACTATATTTATAAATAGAACAAGAAATAAGCTGAGTATTTAAAAAAATAAACACCTTGGCCCAAAAGATTGTAGAGGGACTCAGAATTCTAGAGATCATGTGGTAATGTACACAAACGTCAAGGTGCTACAGTGATCTGCTAAAAGTCACTGAACATGCCTTGAATACTGTATATGATCTGTGTGATCAGTACCTTCTGGAGAAAGCCTCCTCTGTGCCTGTAGGCTTTCTTTGAAGAATATCAACTATTGTGCTTTATTTTTAATTAAGATTTGTTTATACTATTTTTGTGTATGTGTATGTTTATATGTGTGTGTTGTGTGCCTGTGTGAATATATGCTGTGTGTGTGTGCACGTACAGGCCTAAGAAAGCAAGAAGAGAGCATCTGATCCTCTGGAGCTAGAGTTACAGGTGGTCGTGGGTGCTAAGAAATGAACTCTGGTCCTCTGGAAAAGCAGAAGTGCGTTTAATTTCTGAGCCATCTCTCCAGCCCCTTAAAAGAATGTTAATGGAGTGATAATGCAAATACTACATCGACTATTAAATGCCATGGGATTTTAAATCTGTTATCCCATAAGATTGTTCTCAATCAGTATACTAATATTGTTCTCAAATGTTTGCCTCAAAATCTCTTCAGTCTCTTAGTTACAGTTTTTAGATTATTTCCATGATTTTATGACAAGGTCAGAATTCTCTTCCCCATAACACCCAAACTTGATGTTTCCTCTAACTTCTGAGCCTTCTTTGTTCAAAGCGTTGTCTCACCTCGGCTTCAGCATTGTCTCAGGCCTCAGTAATCCCAAGAGGACACTTTCTTCAAGAAACAGATGATAAATAGCCTCCCCTGGACACTGTCGCTCTACTCCTTCACGACACACACACCCTATACTTCACACCTGGCTTCCCCGATGTCTTCCAAACACTCAGTCATCTTTTGTTGGCAGGGAATCAATTCATATGATCCTTATCAGTATTTTTGGAAAATGTGAACAGAACAGAAAATACCCATTCTATATGTAGAGTTTTACATGCAGATTTTTTTGTGAAATATAAGTATTATAAAATCTAGGCTTTACCCACATATGCAGATATACACATCTGTGTGAATAGGTGCATCTGAAACTGAAGGAAAACCTACATAACCCCACTGGCTTCACATGTTTTTAATTACTTACTTGGTTCTTCAGTTTTAGAGGCCCCATAGCTAGCTAGTAGATTCCCATTAGCTTTACTAGCCATAATCCCTCTGCTTATGGTCACTATGATAATGTTGCTCCAACAGTTTTCAAAAATGTGGAGGCTGCTTTTTATCTCAAACCAGTTGACATCACTAAATCGTAACTCTCACTTGGGCATGTTGCAGTGACCATAGATTATCAGTTTCCACAGCTTAAATGTTGGGCATCTACTTTTGAAGTGTCAATGAAAACTCAAAAGATTTTTGTCACCTACATTTCATATGAAAGAGCTGTTTTTTTGTCACAATTAAGCCACTGGCTTTCTAATGTTGCACTCTGTGCATGATTTAACCTTGTTCTTGAGGCCTTCCTTAGGCAAGACATCATTGGCCTTCTCCAAATACTGCAGTAATCTTCAGTGGGGCATTTACCCACCAACCCCACAGTTCCACGGAGTTTTCTTGAGTGCGAGCAACAGGAAATATTAGATAGAAGGATTTAGATTGTGGAGATAAACAAATAGAAAATACAGGATAGCCTCAAGAGGGCCTGGAACCTACTCCAGTGGACCCTGACTGTCTCTGCCCCCAGGGTATTTATAGAGATGCCAAGGGGTGGAGCAAAAGACCTCCCCCAGCACAGCCAAGTGCAGACCATCTCAGACACCTGCACTCAGGCCCGTGGTCCTAATCATCCTCTCTATGCAGACCTGCTGGCTAAAGCCACGAGGAACCCGAGAACGGGCTCACACAGTCATCATCTATTGATACCCAAGAAAAGGCCCCCACAGCTCACTAGCCAATGAGTTTCTCAGTTTCTGGGAGTCAGTTACCTAGGCATGGCTTAGCTGGATCCTCTCAACTCAAGGTCTCTCCAGAGGCTGTACTGTTGTCAACTGAGCAAGGATCACTTCCATACTCATTTAGAGACTGGATTCAACCCCTCAAGAGGTTCTGGCCAGGAATTCCCCCAGTTCCTGGCCACCTGACCTGAAGTGTATAACGAGGAGGCAGCAAGCAAGAGATTAAGTGAGGACAAATCAGCCAAAAGTCAGTCTGAAGGTTTTGAGAAAAGTTTATTTTCTTTTCAAATAATAGTTATTGGGGGGCATCCTATGCATGCTACAGCGCAAGTGTGGATTCAGAAGACAGTCTTTGGGAATCGGTTCTCTCCTGCTGTGGGTCCTGGGGATTAATCAAACGTGGGTTTTTAGGCTTGGTGGCAAGCACCTTTACCTGATGAGCGATCTCACTGGCCCACAAGTCAAATCTCTTAGGTCACCTAATGTTGGAAGTAACATCCAATGTTCTTTTCATTACTTTACTTTTCTCAAAGTAAGTGATGAGGTTTAGTCCAAGTTCAAAGGGAGATTAAGCAAGGACATGAGTACTAGGTGATGTAGACCATTAAAACTCATCTTAGGAGCTATCTACCATAAATATGCTAGTATCACCTATAACCTAAGTTGTTTTTTTTTTTAAGTTTCACATCCTGAACCCCACCCCCTGTAGCTCATATGCTAAAAGCTGGGTCATGTACCTGTGACTCTTCTGGGAAGTAGTAAAACATTAGGGTACGGAGTTTTAACTGATGGAAGTTAGTGGTGGTGTGCCCCAGAAAATCTGTGATTTCTCTATATCTATTTGTCTGTCTGTCTGTCTGTCGTCTGTCTATCTATCTATCTATCTATCTATCTATCTATCTATCTATCTAATCTCTGTTCCTCCCTCCCTCCCTCCCTCTCTCCTCTCTCTCTTACTCTGCTTTCTAGCCCCACAAGATGAACAGTATGCCCCAACACACTCTCCCTACCACAGGCTCCATATCAGCAGAGCAGAATGACACTACCAATGGCGACCTTTGCAACTGTGAGTCAGAACCCAATTTCCCTCCTAAGTTTACTTCTCAGGTATTTAATCATGGCAGTAGAAAGCTCAACAATACACTAATTCCCAAGGACTTTAAGCTTAGTTTGGAGAGGAAAATGGTAAGAAATTATTCTGGCTCTTTATTTTGAAATTGTTGCTTAAGCTAATCAATCACTGATTATTTGAGATAATTAAATCTCAACCATTATTAACTGTTATAAAAGATCTTTGCCTGAAGTGTTTTAAGCCTCTGTATGCAAAGCACTATTGACTTTTAAAGTAATCACAGTCAGTGTTCCGCAGTGTTGGGTCTCAAAGGTCTGCTCCAAGGATCCCCATTTTCTTAAGTGCGAAGGATGCTGCTTCACTTGTTTCTGGAATTAATTCTGATTGACAGGAGTAGAATTAATTAACTGTCAAGAGCCCTTTTCCTTCTTTGTTTCCATTTGGAACAATTTCTATGAAGAAGAGCTCGGGGATACTAATTATAGAAGAGATCCTTCCCTTTATGTGGCTAAAGAAATCTAAAAACACTGTATATTTGAAGAGTCACAATATGCATTAGTATAGTAATCAGGGTCCCTGATTAATACCATTCCCAGTTGGCTATGGTATGTATTCTTATTGTGACTAATACTAGCCCAGCAACCCGTGGAGCCATTGAATCTAGGTAGGGCGCAGGTTTTTCTATTGGTTTGCAATAGTACTAGATAACATATGGGACAACCCAGATATATTGTTGCTTTACCTTTGAAACATTAGGCATGGATATTTCCGTGTTCTGTTGAGCATCTGGTCAGTTCTCCACTTATATATTGTGGTAGCATTTCTATCTGAAGCTTCCCTTTTAAATGCTGAGACCTTGGCTGTTTCTTATGGGCTTTCTGGCTTGGGCCCTTATTTCAGACAACTGAAATCTTCAAGTTTGGTTTACTTAAAACATTCCCAAGAGGATCATAGCAAGCACCCCGCTCCTCACTAATTCTACACCACTTTCAAATGTATATTGATGAAATGAATGATCTGCCTTGAGATAAAATTTTGCCCTGTTACCTGTAGGTTTTCTTTGTGAAATAGACCAATTGAGAAGGAGCTATTTAGGTAGCATGTTGCTTTCATCATGTTTGGGCTAGAACATCATTCTGTTTAGAAAAAAAAAAAAAAAAAATCCCTTCCAAATAGAGGGAATTACTTCCTGTACATGAGTCTGGAACATTGGTTATTTTCTAGAGCAGTGGTTCTCAACCTTCCTAATGCTGTGACCCTTTAATACAGTTCCTCATGTTGTGGTGACCCCTAACCATAAAATTATTTTTGTTGCTGCTTCAAAACTGTAATCTTGCTACTGTTATAAATTGTAATATAAATGTCTGATATGCAGGATATCTGATATGCAACCCCTGTGGAAGGGTCTTTCGATCCCCCAAAGAGTTGAGACCCACAGGTTGAGAACTGCTGTCTTAGAGCAATCAATCATTTTTCGGTCTTCAGGCTGAACATTGATTTTAGGTTCCATCTCAAGTTGTTAGTTGTGTGGTTTAAAAACCAAGGTATGGAGCCAGATTCCTCGATTTCAGTCTTAACTTATTAGCTATATGATCTTGGACAACTTACTTACAAAATGGGGATAATAATGACATTTATTCTAGAGTTCAGGTAGTCAATGAGCTTTTTTTGTTGTTGTTGATGATGTCTGTGTTTTTGAGACAGATTTTCAGCTTCAAACTCACAATTCTCCTGCCTGAGCATCCAAAATACTAGAATTATAGGCCTGGGCCCCTGTGCAGATAAGATACATTTGTGTAGTGCTAACATACTAAGCTCTCAAAAATAACAGTTGTTATTATCAGGAATGTTTCAAGTTTATTTTTACTACCCGTTGCTATTTACCTGTCTTTTTTTCTTTTTTTAACTGTAAACAGCCACCGTTCCCTAAAAGTGAACAAAAAGCAGCATTGGTTGGGGGGTCAAGATTAAAATGTTTCAGCATACAACACAATAGTTTTAGTTTTATCCGAAAGCAAACTATATCCCAAGTCCTGTGGCGTGCAAGTTCAGATACCTTAAGGGACAATCAAAAGCGACACCCAGCAGTGAATACCGATACCCCTGCTCTACCGAGCTGGGAGCCCGGAGGGAGGAGATTGTGAGGAGCAAGGTTGAATACCGATACCCCTGCTCTACCGAGCTGGGAGCCCAGAGGGAGGAGATTGTGAGGAGCAAGGTTGGCAGTTGCTCAGCTCGGAGAAGTCACTCCACGGCTCTTTGTTTCTCTGAGGTAAGAGCTGACATGATGATGGAAAGAGCAGTTGGAAGGACAGTCTGACAGGGTCAGTGTGATACACAAAGTGGAAACAGAGGCTGGCTGTAAATGTGTTATATTGCAGGGTGAGATCGTAAGAGTTTCTTCCTACGAGGCTTGAAGTGGAAACAGGAGAAAAAGGATGACTGTGGAAGACACTGTGAAGGAAGAGATCACAGACTGAATTAAATGGAAAAACTGATCATAAAAAGACCATCCTATCAAAATCTTATTTTATTTACCTCTTATCCCAAGTTTTAATACCTGAAAATAACTTGGTAGAAGTTGGTATTCTAGTAAATCCTATGAGGATGAAAAAGAAGGTAGGATTTGCTATGTTGGTTTGTTTGCCTTTAAGGAATAAATAGTATGTTACCATGGTACCTTATTTATTGTAAATCAAGACTTGGAAGTTCTAAGGGGAGCTTGTCACTGAAAGACATTGCCCATGTAGATAGATTTTTTTTTTTTGTACTGCTCTGGCTTAAGTCAATGAGTTCTATGGTTTCCTGACACATTTTCATGTTTCAGTCTGACAGAAGAGAAAGTCTAGCATTCCCTGCCAAATATTCCAGATCACTTTGGTTTAAGTGAGCAATTTTGAGTTCAGTGGTTAAGTAGCATGTTTTTAAATTTTAGACAGAGAAAAATGGAAACTTCAGACCTTCCCTGCCAAACATTCTAAATTATGTTTCTCAGCATAGTACTTAGAAAGGCAGACTTAATGAAACATATATTCGGCTCGTGGCAATTATATACAAAGGTCTGTGATAGATAAATAATAAGCATCTTTATTTTCCTTGGTTTATAAGGCATGAAAGTGGCCTGAATGGTGGTGCATGCCTGTAATCCCAGGTAGAGGCAGGCAGAAGGGTCAGAAGTTCAAGGCCAGTTTAGGGTGATTCAGTTTCAAAAAGATATAATAACTATTATTATATTAATAGTTAATAATGTATATAATGAATATGCTGACTATGGTCAGCATCAGTGGGTTTACAAATAAAGAACTTTGTTGAGTTATCTAGTCCTCCTGAGTACACATAAGGACTGTCTTCTCCCTTCATGTCTGTAGCTAACACTTGGATTTAGTCTTTTCTTTTGCCTTACCATGGAAGAGAAAAGTAGCATTGCTCAAATCACCAGATGGTCCCTTTCAATTATATAATAGCGAGCCTACTTAATTTCCTTTAAGGAATATTCATCACGCATAAAATGAAATCCTTGTGCGATCTAAGTGCAAAGTGATAAAGAAATAATCCCAGTCCACTCCCAAAGAGTTCATAGCTGAGGCAGCGAATATCTTTATACTCAGGACTTAGTTCAGAAGAACCTCCAGAAGGGAAGAGGAAGAAGAAGTAGAGTGTGAGAAATAAAGCCCACTGGAAGTGAGGAAGGAAGAGAAGGCAGTGAGAGGCTCGCACAGTGAGAAAACTAAGGATGACCTGCGTGGATCTGCTTCAGTGCACCAAGAATTTAGCTCTCGGGTTTTGGGAGAAATGGGAGAAATGTCACTAATTAAACAATTCACAAATCCTATCAGATGAAAGCACACTAATTGTTTAGGAAAAAATCAAAGCCAACCTGTATTTCTGATACAAGGCCAAACAAACAAAACCCCTTAGGGGGCCTCCGAAGGCAACACTACCTGAGCACTGAAGAACTTCCTGTGAAATATCCTTACAAGAGTGGAGACTGGAGTGAGGCTACTTAAGGTATACCTCAGCGGAGGTTTGGTGGGCTGTCACCAAAGCCAGTGCAGCCAAGGCAAGTTTCCAGGGCTGTGCTTGCACAGGTGATTCTGTAACAGTAAGTTACAAGATCTGTGGGATAAACACTCCGTCCACATGGCTCTGTGCCAACAGATGGGACGGGACCGCGGTGTTGTCATTCAAAGCAGGAACAGACAGAACTCATCACTGAGGAGATATTCTGAGAACTTGCATTCAGTTTGCAAAGGAAATATGCAGCTTCAGTTGCAAATACCTAACTCTCTTTTATCCAGATACTTATTATAGATGGAAGCAATTTGAAGAGTAGTATCAACATTGGAAAATCAAAGTAGGTCTTCCATGATAAGATATATGCCTCACATGTCTCAGCTCCCCCTTAGTATTTAATGTACTAAATAAATTATAATAAATTAAGAAAATAGACTGCCTACCATGGGGTGGGAGACCAAAGCATCAGTACATGTTTAGACTTTCCAGTTTTAAGCAGATGTTCCCAGAAATCAGACCACACAAGTTGTTCTTTGAATATTAACTCTGATTCCATATTGATTTGTATTTTTAAAAGAAATTATGTGTTCAACGGTATTGTTTTTACCTAGTAAGACAGGAAAATGAGTAAAACATAAAAGGATGTTCTGAATATAAAATAATCCATACAGCTCATGTCCAATAAAAGGCCATATCTTTCTAAATTATTCAATAAATGGGGTAGGGGTAATAAGATTTGATTTGAAGAGAAAGAAAAGTGAACTATATATAGCCTGTTTCTAATGTTGACTTTATGAAGATAGTATTTTTTTCATTAGGATCCAGCCAGACACCAAAGGAGAGGGAAAAAACTTCCTGCCTCTTCAGACCCTAACTATCTTTCCTGTCATGAATAATAATCTCGCCTCTGTGAGCTGGCTGGGTGCCTGACAGAAGGACTCCCAGTCGTGATGTGATTGGAACTGACACTTGACAACCGG